TCACAACATTCATAGTCAAATTAAGAAACACACGACTTCCAAACAAACCATTAAACCGACAGACACACACGCACACTTCAGCTGCAGTTGTGCTGGATGAAGGAATAACAACCTCGCTCCCACCTGTCTTCACCACCCTTCTCTCAGAGGTGACTGCACTCGGAGTCAGTAGAGTTGCTCATGCGAATACTCTTGCACCTGTTTTGGATAAACATGGCCCTGTAAGGTTTGAACAACTGGAACAGAAGTTATTTGTTACTCATCCTGAACTGGGTGAGGGAGAGCTCCCAAGGGAACTTCTCCTGCATGAAAAAGCAGCTGTAGTGGATCTCTTCAGGTGGCACAGCTGTGCTCAAAGGAGAGTGTGTGTCCGCAACAATAGCAAGGGTAGAAAAGGAAAGCTAAAAATTAGCAACCTGAATGAAACAGCTCATAGTCTGTACTTCCTATTTTCTTTTTGGTCCAAGTTGTGCCTGTATCGGCTCTTTTGACGTTCCTTCTATAATCCCTCAGGCTGTCAGAGGGGCAGAGAGAAGCCCTCAGCTCATACATACACCCTCAGACAGAAGTTAAATGTTGAGTTACTGATAAGCTAGATACATGTGCATAAGGCCACTGATTCATAAGGAAAAGACAACATTTAAGAGTTGCTAGTAGACCAATGTAAAGTGCCGATGATTAAAAATGAGGGGGAATGTGGCAGGGGGGAGCCAGGAATAGGAGGCTATAACCAATTCCTGTCCACCAATTGTTAAACAGAAAAAATCATGTGATGAGACCATCAACAAATTTAGACTTTTCCATCTTTAATTTGAAAGATATTATGAAAAAGTAATGCATGTTCTCTGATAGTTCAGAGCCTCTCTAATACATTTATATCTAATACATATATCTGTGGAAAAAGACAAAAGCCTTCAAATAGTGATTTTGAATTCCAAGACAGGAAATAAGGACTTAAACAGCATCAACAGAAGATAAAACTCTGGAAAGGTTTGAAATACAGAGGCTTTCCACTGAAATCTGTCCTGCTATCATTCTATACACATGAGCATGCACATACACATTCCTGCACTGGTTCAGAATGCAATGATAGTTGTCTGTTGCTCCAAATTCACTGCACATGGTGAAGTTCTAAGATTTATCCAAGACAATGTTGTTCAGAGTCCTTTGTTTTTATTATTTTTATTATTTTATTATGTAAGGACTCTGCGCCTTTGGAATAGGAAACTATTATAAATATATGCTGTAGTGCAGATGAAGAACTTTCCCAATTTCATTAGCAAGTAGCAAGATCTGTGCATATACCTCCCACACAGAATGTTTTAGAAATATGCCCTATTATGTCTAGTTAAGTCAACCTTGTGTCATTATTTCATATTAGTGTATATGACAGAATTGACATACACAGAAATGATGCATCAGAACCATTACGTGTCATCCAGGAAAAAGAAAAAAGGAATTCTATGTTTTGAAAACTAGGTTAAGTATCACATCCTCAAGTATTTTGAGAAGAAAAGGTTATATTGGTACCAAAAAAATATTTGTTGTTTTAAGGTTTAAGAAAGTACTTTGAATAAAGATATAGTAAAACAAGAAGAAAAAAAAAAAAGCCAACTTCGGAGTACATATTTAAGTAGAAGAAGACAGGGAAATGAGAATGAAAATCTGCTACACAAAGAGAAGGAAGCATTGCTTAAATGTCTCGGTTCTGAATATATATTGTTAAAAAGGCAATTTTTTTTCACAAGGAAACTTTTTGAAATAAGTCAAGATTTTGCAAAATATTTCTTTCAGGTCCAACATCATTATCCTAGACTATTAGTAGAAAGACTTCTGCTGGGTTAGGACTACACTGATTTCACTAAAGTGTTAAGCACAAGTGGAAACAGTAGTTGTTTCGGACAGTAATTTTCACAGAATCCAAGAAATGTAGGGCCAGAATAAAACTGAAAACACCTCCAGCCAACATTTGTACTAAAAATAGATTAACTATATCTAGCTTATCCCTTAGGTATGGTAGGTTACAAAAAGGAGAAAAAAAATTTGCAAGATATTTAGGCTGATTGCCCCTTATTCTTCCTCCCCTCACAACAGAAAAATATTGATTGTCATTTTTACAAAGAAGACATGGTATTTTATTCTGTGTATGAGTTCCTGCAATTATGTGCCTACAGATTCTCGGTTTTCTTCTTTTCAGTTTGTCCCTCACTTCTTACACGTTTCTCTTTATGTGGTGAGTTGACCTTGCTTGGACATCGGTTGCCCACCAAGCCTGTCTATCACTCCCCTCCTCAGCAGGATGGCAGAGGAGAAAATAAGGTGGAAAGAAATCCCTCATGAGTGAAGATAAAGACAGTTTAATGGAAGTAAAGGAAAACAAAAGATTTTATTCTCTACTTCCCATCAGCAGGTGATGTCTGGCCACTTCTCGGGAAGCAGAGTTTCAGTAGATGTAGTGGTTGCTCCAGAAGACAAATGTCATAAATAATGAATGCCATCCTCTTCTCATCCTTTCTCTTAGCTTTTATTGCTGAGTAGACATCATACAGTCTGGAATATCCCTTTGATCTGTTTGGCTCAGCGGTCTTGGCTCTGTCCCCTCCCAACTTCTTGCCTGTCCCCAGCCTACTAGTGAACAGGAGAATGTTGGAGAGACTGTCTTGATGGTGTGTGAGCATGGGTCAGCAATATCCATAATAACCATTGTGTGTAATAGCAATAGCCATGGTGTGTTATCAACATCCTTCTAGCTACCAATACAAAGGACAGTACTGTGAGGGCCGCTATGGGAAAATTATCTCAGACAAACACAGTAGACTTTACAAAGAAAATAGCTTTCAAATCTAGTCATAAAAGAAAACTCAAAATAGGATTCCACATAGAATGACACTGGGGTGAAATGAAGGACTCAAGATAACTTCATGCATAGGCTCCCCAATCTTATAAGTTTTATACCTGAACTTTAATTTTCTCTTCTTCTAATATTTGATCATGCTGGTGAAGATGCAGCTGTGGCTCAGACTTTGGACCATCTTCCACATGTGTCATTCCCAGGACTTCTGTTGTGTAGCTCCTAATAGATGACTCTTGTTTAGGAGGAGTCGGTGGCTTAGGAACGGTCTGAAATTCAGGAAGGTTTACAACTACTCACATCTTCCATGTGGTCAGACAGTAGATTTGACTGTCTCCCAATGACCATTGCTGTGGAGAAAATAATGTTGCTATGGGATATAAAGGTAGGCTGCAATGTCAAACCCTCTTGTGCTGTAAATTCTCACATCTCCATTGTCTTTAACTGAGCAGTCAAAAAGTACCTGTGCCAAGGATTAGGCTCCCTATCTTTAGATTACTGGATAATAATATCCTATCAAGGAGATATAGGAGGGAATCAGAAAAGCTCATCAAAATGTTCAGTGACATGTCAGCGGATTTATGAGAAAAAAAGATGTCATTATAAAGAAGAAAAAAAAAGAAAGGTCATATTCATTAGGAAGAAAGGAAGACCTAAAAAAGTACAGGAAATTACAGATTTGCCAGCACCTTGGAGTTTTGTTGTTAAGAGAGAGGGAGGTTTTCTTAGCACATTTAATTAAAATGAGGTACTGTGTCTCTTTATTTTTACATTTTCAATCTTTATATTACCATAACAATATGTCTTCCACTGCTTCCTTAAGCATTAACAGCTGATTTATTTAATAAAACTGAGGACTGAACATCACTGGAAATACTGTTTCCAATGGAATGCTCTCATGCTGTGATTGGTGAAGTGCTAAGTAATTTGCTTTTAATGCTAGCACATACCACTTAGCACTATATTTAACTGAATGATGAAAATCACTCATTTTTCATCCTCTTGCTTAACTGGTGCTTAGTGTAATCTATCTACTGTACTGTGACCCCAGCACCAGATATATTCTATTAGACCTAGCTCTCCAATCTGCAACAAGCATTTTAATTTTTAATTCATAGTTATGTCTTTATCCTTTAATAGAACAGAACTACAGATGGGGAGTATGTTTTAGATAATAAGAGCACAGTAGGTACCCAGGGAAACTACACTACTAAAAGGATTCTTTATTTACACTTTTCAGTAATGACTACATATATATAGCTACACAGGAGAAAACTGTTGTAAAGGAACACTGCATAGACAGGCAATTACTATCCAACTATAACTGAGCATTATGGATGGTGTTGCTGATAAGAGCACTTCAGCAAACAATTTCAAAGTCAATGCCACCCACTGTATATTGACCAACAATCATGGGAACTCGTGGGATGCAAGTAATCAAAATTAATAGGAAGGATGTTACATTTTCTGGGAAAAAAAGTAAGGTAGATCTACTTAATATTTAAGCATACTTTAAATTCATCTTTCACAAATACATAATTACAGAATTTTACATCCCAGATCAGATGAAAGTCAGTGTAGGTATTCCAATATAACCGAGGGAATAAACGTGGTCAATCAAGTCCCTCATGTGGATCTCAGGACCAGATCCACATTTGCTAAAAAGTCAGCACAATCCTATTAGAACTGAAGGTGTGGTGGTTCCACACATAAAGTTAGTCCTGCCATCAGACTAACTACCAACACTGTATTACCAACACTGAAGACAAAATCTCACAGAACCAGATTGGGGTATCATAACTCAGTAGTGGGAAACCTGGGGTATTAATATTGCCCAAAGGGATTTTTACCATTATAGTCAGTCATGTTGAAAGACAAAACTGAGGCCAAGAAGATGCATATAGTATGATGCTGCCCACAGCATGCTGTCTTCTTGGTACAGTCGCCCAGAAACTGGAATAGGTTACAGATCACCATCTTAACTCACAGCACAGGGCAGTCATGAACACAGGCAATCCCAGCAGCCTCCACCATATTGTGTGTGTCATTAATTATTGTGGGGTAATTGGTATTACCCCAAAATCTGGTGTGAAAAGAGCAACGCTGCTCAGGTAGAAAAAATCCACAGAAAAATTCTGAGACTGAATGATTTCTTTTCAGTTAGTTTCTTTTTCAAAGTTATGTACAGCGGTTTAAAGGGTCAACAGGCATAGCAAACATTAAAAAGGCAATTTTATTCCTGTTATGACAGAGAGAAGTCATCCAAGTAATATCTGATGCAATAGAAGCCACACAAACAGCATCAGTTCTTGTAAATATTCAGAAGATTTAAACACCATTTCTGTCTGGGTGTAACTCATAAAATAACCACACACATATGCACATGCACACAAATAAATCGAGAAAAAAAAGAAAATAAACCAGAAAAAAAAAATGGAAACCAGATTGTTATCTTGCAAACCCAAAGAAAAACTGTTCTCAGGAGTGACATTTAAACATTCAGGTTACTACCTAACGTAATTCCCTGATTGTTCAGGTTACTACCTAATGCAATTTCCTGATTATTCAGGTGGATGAGAATCATAGATTTAAGTAACAAAAATAATCAACAATGCTCAATATATTGGGTAAGATCTTGCAAAGGTAAGTGGATCTGAAAAATTTTTCCCGTACCAGAGTGAACAAAGGGACACCAGAAAATCATACATGCTAGAAAAATGTCACTGATTACTAAGTTAATAGATTACAGCATTCTACAGAAATGATTCAAAATAGCAGTAAGGTGAGACTCTTCCCTTTTCCAACTGCATTTTCAGGACAAAAAGGATCCTACCACAGGGAAGACCAAGAGTCAGGGCACTGGCAGTCAGCCCTATATTTCTACACATGCCTCTGATTTAGGCGGCCTTGCACAAACGATTTCACCTTTCTTGCCTGTGTTCCCCTTCCCATCTTCTCCTTCTGTTGTCTCTCATAGTTCTTGCCTTTGTGGCATGGACTTAATTTCTGATGCATTTGTATGGAGCTAAATAGAATAGGCACTAACTGGTTCAAACCAATGAGCAAAACTTTAATACTACTAAGAAAGCATGAGGATAACCTCCAGGTTGCTTTAAGCTTCTGTAGCTCCCGGGGAAGCAGGTATGGCCATCATGAAGACCTCAGAAAAATGGTCTCTGGGATCTTGTAAATTTTGCAGCCTGTTGGGACTTGGTTACAGAACTGGAAGATGAAGCCATCATTGCTCGTCTTCTGGGCATTTTTGCAGTCTTGCAATTACAATCATGTTGTGCTTTGAATAATTACTGAAAATGCTGTCAATGTTTTCGTCATGAAACTTGAAAGACAAATAAGCAACATTTTCCCCACCACAGCTAGCAGGAACAAGCAAACCTGAGAAATTTAGGAGTGTCCCACAGTTTGGAAGGAAAAAAAATCATATGAAATAATGTTTGCATGATCTGTGATCTGATCCCATGAGCTCACCACACTGCAAAGCTTGTTGAAGCCACAGAAGAGCTACAAATGGAGCATTTGCGGGACAACACTTTACACACAGAGATGTGGTTGTCAGAAACATAAATCCTATCAGACAATAACCATACCATGGATGTGGATCAGGATGGAAACAACTTCATGGAATATGCATGACTGCAGGAACTAGCTCTTGTCAGAGACAACTGGATTTCCTGAAGATTAGAAAAAAGGATGCAGAGATAGACATTATGTAAATATACCAGTGACAGAGTATGACCTCCCTCCCCCAGCAAGAGAGATATTGGAGCAAGAACCCATAAAATAAATTGATCAGTTTTCCCTAAAAAGAATTTGTCGTGTGTGCTCAAGTGAACTTTCCAAGGTTTCTCTGTTAGCAGACAACATTACTGTGGATTTAAAAGTAACACGAGGTGCTTTTAACTGAACTTCACTCCTTAGAGGGCATTGGAAAACTAACAGGACACAGTCAATGAAACTACCCAAGGATGAAGACACACTGGAAAACACAGCTGCGAAATTTCAGCTCTAACTGATTGCACCCTAGTCTTCCCAAGAGAAACTGTATTTTCAAATGATTTGTTTTCTTCTATCTCTCCCATCATTTTATGCTTAGGTATCAGTAGTGTTCTTCAGCTAGGTACAGCAACTGATCATAATACCTTCCCACCTTGCTGTACTCTTTTTCTTCTCCCTCAGCTTGATGAGTGTAGATGTACACAGCACATTATCCATTTTACTTATGGGCTCCTGGGTTGTGTTCATTTCATTACACAAAAGACTTTCTTCGCTAATATCACCAAACGCCTGAAAAACAGAACAGACAAAACCAACATATTATTATGTCAGTATTCAGTGGAATATCAGAGGGAACATAGATGACTTTGATTACCCTTCCCCACCCCTGTCTTCTTGCTTTCAAAATATCACAGTTTAGAAGCTTCTGTGTGTGTGAAATTTTATTCTGTCATACTAATAACCCAGCTTAGCAGCAGCTTACAGTTTAGCTTTCATGGTTCAGTTCCACTCCTAGGCTTATAACAATTTTTCTAACAGTTCTGCCAAAATATTATAAAGTAAAACTTACTGTAAATGTATTCACTAATGCAGATAGAGCAGTGAGATTAACAATTTAAACACATGTGAAATGTGAATTTGCCTAATTTTTCTCACTCTAAATGCTTAAGTAAAACAGTGGAATGGGGATTTTTACGCCCGTTGCTTTAATAGTTTCTTCCTATGATGTTCTTGACACATGGAGAAGATTTGAGTGAATAAAGAATAGGCCCTCAAAGAAGAAAATCGTGGCCATGAGGACATGATGTTATAGGACTGGAAACTGGTTATAAAGCCATGACTCCGCTTCAGATTCAGCTCAGTTCATTAGTAGTTACTTCATCACGTCAGATCCTCAGCTTGTGTAATGTGGGTGGCATTTTGCACAAGAGTGCCCTGGCTCTGATTGTTTTCATGTTTTAGAATGCCCATATAAGAAAAATTTTGCTCAGATGAGTGTGAGGAGAAATCAAATTTCAGATACTGAAAAGTAACTGAGCCTCAGCTCTCTCTAGCTGCCGTTACTCAAATATTAGCACAAAAAAGCAGGTTACTCCAATAATGTTTTAAAGAATTTTGCTATTCTCAAACTGGTTTAGCACAGCTGTAATAAATTAAACAAACACAGGTATATGTACCAGAATAACCTCTAATTTCTATTGTATTTTTTTGCGTATTTCTAAAATCTATCTGTTGACATAGTTTACAATCATTATTGTACTTCTGGGTTTGATACACTGTGAAGCAAGGAAGTGGTGTTACCTCTGGAATAGAGGGATACAGACAATGCAGGGGATATTCCCCACCTCACATGAAAACGTGACTAAACGCTGGAGTGGTCTTGTACATCCTACATCCTAGGCAAGTTTCTTTATACCATGCTATTCTTTCTTCTCAGCTAGATACCAATTACACAGAACAGCTACTACTTTATTTTTTGTTTTAGTCTTTCAAACTAGAGATAGTCCAGTTTTAGGTTGTCCAAAGTTGTTTCTCTCATGGCATAAAGATACAACAGAGTCATGGCAGAGCTTCATAGCAATGCTTTTGTATTACATGAAGTTCAAGAAGACAGAAGACAAAATAGGGGCCTGTAGCATCAGTGAGCTAACAGAAAGAGAAATATTTTTCCAGTTGCAATAATCTGAGAAGAAAAATGTGGAAGTATCATCAGGGTATACTTAATTAGGAGATCTAATCCTAATTCCCCAGAACTTGGAACACTAAATTCATTTAATTTCATAGAATTGTTTAGCTTGGAAAAGATCTTTAAGATCATTGAGTACAGCCGTAAACCTAACTCCATCAAGTCCACTACTAAACCATGTCCCTGAATGCCACATCTACATGTCTTTTACATGCCTCCAGGAATGGTGACTCAACCACTTCCCTGGACAGCCTGTTCCAGTGCCTGATAACCCTTTCAGGTTGTCAAGAAATTTGTCCTAATATCTAAACTAAACCACCCTTGGTGCAACTTGAGGCCATTTCCTCATCCTGTCGCTTGTTGCCTGGGAGAAGAGACCGACCCTCATCCATCTACAATCCCCTTTCAGGTAGCTGTAGAGAGTGATAAGGTCTCCCCTGAGTGTCCTTTTCTCCAGGCTAAACAATCCCAGCTCCTTCAGTTGCACCTCATAAGACTTGTTTCTATGCAAAAAAAGAGGACTGGGATATTTAGAGTTCACTGGAAAAGCTTTTCCTTTGGTGTTGGTTAAGACATACCAAGAGCTCTTTAAAATCTGATCATTTACATAACCAGCATGCCTGACTGAAGCAATAGAACCCTTTGCTACAATTAAGGTGCTACCATTTGCTTGTGTACTTTAAACTGAAGCTTGTACAGATATATCAGATTTTTAGACTTGATCAGAAGTTGTACAGAGTTATGTTCTTAAATTAAAGTCCAGGTTGTTGTTTCTGAGAGTGACTTAGTAGCAGTAACCTTATGGTTAATCAACCATGTAGTAAAGTTCACTGTGCACTTACTGTAGTGTAATTATAAAGTGAGCAAAAATATAATTGATGCATTTTGTCAATCTGTGTAGCTGCAAGGTACTTTTTAAAAGGTTATTTTTTTATTCGGATAAAATAAATTAATGCTGTTTTGGCAATTATCCTTTGACTTCAGAGATTTTACTGCTGATTCAGGTAAAACTATGTGATAGATGAATAAAGATTATAACAATTTAAAACTACAAAAAACCTTCCACAACAAACAGTGGCTCTGCCCTTGCAGCATAAAATCATTCTGAAAAATCACTGAAAATACAGTAAATCTTAGTGTTTAAAGTAGTTTGAAACTGAAAGGGATTTTTTTAATACAAAATAGCACTTCTAAAGTGCCTCAATTACTAGCACTGTTGTTTGTTATACAGCACAACTACAGTGCTATGACAGGATTTTTTCTGTGAGCATTGGCTCAGACAGTGGATGAGCTTGAACTTGCTTCCATCCCATCTGTGAACAACTGAAGGAGACAGCTCTAACTCTTCAGCCCCCATGGAAAAAGAAATTAAAATACCCATGAAAATAATATCTTTGTTGGTTAGGTATGTCATCTTTGCTCCTTATCCCATGTTCTCTGCAAGTAATGAAGAATCAGTATGATTTAAAATTGTGTATTCATATACAGAACATGGCTATAAGGCTGTAGTTCTGGTATTTCAGTAATTTTTTGGCTACCTGAAAGCCTGTGAATGCAGCCAAAAGCCAGCGGTGGACCTGTCTCATCCCTTTTATAGTCCTTCTATCACAGCACAGTCCCCACAGCAGATAAGTGGGACATGGCAATTTGAAGGAAATAAATCTTTTTGCACATGACCCTGTGAGTTTCCGGGGTGTAGAATATATAGAACCTGGGATTTGTAGAAAACGAGGGAGATGAGAAATGGCCACATGCTGCAAGGCTGCTTCCTACGTTTCCACCCTGTTGCATGTAGTAACATAATCTTGACTGCAGTTGATAGTAGATTCATAGACACTGTTCCCATTTAAAACTATACCACTATGTACTGGGAAAAAAGTAAGGACCTAATCTTATACTTGACAGGGAAAACAATGTGAAACAGAAGGTATGAAGACATAACTACTTCCTGACTGAGACACATTGTGCACATCCACTTCATCTGCAGCAGATGGATTGGCTTAGCCCCTACAAGTGCACAGAGCAACAGACTGGGTCCAATTCAGGACAGGGTTCACATGTCACGTGTGAGATGAGCTGAATCAATTTAAGAAAAAAGCATACAAGCACAAGATTTCTCCATGAAAACTGTTTTTCTTGTTCTCATCTTTTCAGCAGGATGGAAAGCACTGCCTGGACAACTAATTTCTTTCTTAAACTGATTATCTTTAATTGAATTATAGCATTAAAGGAGAAATATATACTGGTAAAAATATCTTAAAACAGTCTGATTTACTTCTTATTTGCAGTGGAACTAGCTATACTGCCATGATCCTCAACAAAAGGGCTGTAAGTTTTCAGCCTGTACTTCTTCAAATGCCTATATCCATGGGAGTATCTCTCAGATTTTACCATGTATAATTCCCAACTGAACCTCAGTGCATGTCAAGAGGGATCATTCTCCCACTGAATGAAGTTGCAAAGTATTATTCATTTTCTATGGGACAAGATTAAATCTCAGAATTAGGCAGACAGCATGTGGTGAAGCCTACTCAACCCAGGAGTATGTACACACCTGCATGCGTTAATGTGGGTGGAATCACTTTTGTGAAGGACAAATCATTTGCTGTTAATCCCTACTTTTACAGGGATCTCCAGGAAACAAACTCATAAACTGGCTATGTTTGTGGATAGCCTTGACACGACGCTGCTGAAGCCAGCTAAAGTGGGTCAGTTTACACCAAATAATTGCCTTTGCCCAGCCTCTCCTCAGCCAAGGAGTCCTCACCCACTCACCATGGCTGACCCAGCTTATGGAAAGGCCAGAGCTGTGCTGTTCCCTCTGTGGTGTCTGGTGAGATGATGAAGCTGTGTGATGGTGAAGTCATTAGGTAGTGTACCAACCTCAGCTACTGGGCTGAAGTGATCCTCCCTCTTTCTCTTCTCCATAAACCTTTAGCGACTACTAAGTCATGAAGAGTTATAAAGAGTGAGACTCTTTATGAAAACAGCATGTGGGGCTTTGGCAGTAAACTTGGCCAATTTATTCCCTTAATGAAATTAGAGCCAGAAAAAGCTGCACTCACATGCATAAACTGCATTGAAGTCAACTTCATGGCTTAGGCACATACGGGAAAAAAATAGGGACCAATATTCATATCAACACTGTGTACAAAAAAACAAATTTGTGGAATTAAGAATAAAACATGAGGCAATTTGTTGACTTGCCCAGGGAATATATGGGAGTGACAAATGTGTAGATTATTCTAAGGTTGTTTTTTACTGTCATTATCAGATCCAAGAACTGTATATAAAAGCATGCAGTTCTTCACATGCTAAAAGTATAGTTTGCTCAAACAATTCTAAAATATTCAGTATTCTTAAGATTAAATATCTGAATATTGCTTCTGAAGGAACAGCTGTCAGCTTAAATCTAAAGTCTAGTTTGTTTACTGGCTGTATTTTATATCTGTTAGAAAATGACACCAAATGGCAATAAAATTGTTGTAAGTATTCTACTGGGGAATATAAATGCCCTTTGGTTACAGTGTACATATCTTTATACATAATTCCAGTATATTTTCCCTAGAATTATGTTAAATATGTAAAAAGCCTTTTCTCATAAAGGTAAAAATGCTAGATGTTTCCAAGCTGTAATTTAGCATTAGTGTCAAGATTGCTTCTGAAAATAAGCTACGGTTACTGTTTCATTCTTTTTAAGTGTCACTCAGCATATCATATCTGATCTTGTATTCAAAATAAACTTATATGATTTTATTCACTTTTCCAGAAGTGCAAGAGGGTTTAGACATAATTTATAGCATATGGATTGATGTAAATAGCTTAAACTAAGTAATTGGCTAGTCACCTACGCTGTCTTATCCTATTACTACGAGGTGCTTTTCAAGTAATTAGGGAAAACAGATCTCTTTTATGCAGTAAGTTTAAATTGGATGAATCCTTGACATTTGTGAAGGCTTATTTGACAGATAAAATCATACTATACAAAAACTTTCTCTACAATGCTGAGGTTTACTAGGCCTATAATAAGAAACTGATTTTTTATTGAGTTAAAGAGACTTATCTTTGTCCTTTTAATAAGAAATCAACTCCAGTCAGCAAAAGTTGAGATAAAAATCACCAAGTTGGTGTTATCACCATGTAGACAGCAAATAAATACCACTATCATTAACTTTTCTGTGCATGGATTTAAAATACATTTAAAATGCTAAAATTCAATAATTTCCTGTATATTAAAATAACATCAGACTAATGAATATAGAAAAGCATGAAAAAATGATTTATTTTGAGAAGGTCATTCCTTGGTTAGCCAAGACTTAAATTGAATTACTATAAAGGAGAAATATATCATAGGTAAAAAGGAAAATGGTTTTTACTGCATGTGAATTCTTTAAGTTTTACAATGCTTATGATAAAAGGACTGCACCTACAAGTTTAACCTCCATAATTTTTATACTGCACATTTAAAAAAAAAATCTTTCTATTTAACATTTTTAGGGCAATTTATACATGCCACCTGGTACTTAATGCTCCTTTTAAAACAGTTAGTTTTGCCTCATATTTATGAAACCTATAAAACTACTTTTCATACCAAGCATGAAATTTCTAGTTATACCAGGAAAGTTGGAGTTCTAATGACTATATCACACTTAAAGTTTTAAATATTTTAAAGAGGTTATTGCATATAGAGGCATTTTTTCCAGCTAGTACTTCTACACACAGCACTAAAAAACTGGCCTTACTTATTGGAAAAAAAAAAAAAGGAAATTATTAGTAAATTTAGTGGTTTGGCTCCTTGGATAAAATTAAGTTCACATTGAATTGCTTTGCTGAATTAGGGCTATAAGAAAATCTTGCTTTGACTGAAATATAGAATAGTAGGATGAGGTTGTAAATATAAAGTGAATTCCTTATGAGCATCCAAGGACTTTACAGCAAGATTATGCAAAATTTCTCTTATGCCTGCCAAACAACATCTGCAGATACAGAAACATATCTGAGGTTGAAGTCACCAAGAGCTGAACACACAAATTTGAGAAAGAATTTGGCCTGGTGATTTCAATACTGTTCTCATGCTAGTCAGTTTGGCAAGCAATACACTGCCTCAGATCTCGCGAGCCTACACACGCACCTCAGTCAGCTGAATGCTAAGAAGCTACTGCTTATGTGGTGGTGCCCTCTGAACAATGTCTACATTTGCAGAGGCTTTTTCAAAATTATCATAATATCTGTGCTGTTTTCTGCCAAATTGCTCACGTCTTCCTATTATACATATTTCTGAAGAACACCTACCAACATCAGCAACCGTCATGCTGTAATGGCACAAAGCATTACACACCTGATGAGGAGATCTTAGTCCCCAGATGCTTGAATTATGAGATTCCACTGCAATAATTAGGAATAAGTGTTATGGCTCTTTCAGGTATGATTCCTGAAAGTCACATAAACTAAAAGTCAGTCTTTTCATTTTGTTATCTTCAGAGTTTGCCTTCAGAGTTTCTTAATAAAAGTGAACAAACAAATAAAAGGTTACACTGAAATAATTAAATTTTCACCCTTGGTATGTTACTGTAACAAAAAGCATGATTGTTTTGCAGGAAGAAGGTGCATGTAACCCCCAGTTCCTAGATGTTGTTGAATTACTCCTTGTGTTCTACAGGCACTAGTCCAGCTAGAAGAGAGGAAGAATAAGTGAAAGTCGGTTGTTTTCTTGCTCTGTGGACTCTGCAGACAAGGCAGATGTATATACAATGGTAGGACATGTCACTATTGCTGTAGACCTCTCCTGTTCTTACAGACCATGTTCCTATGGTCCCAAGACAGCACTTTGTACAAATATCTTGTCTCTGGTGAGGAGAAAGAGGCTTGCTGATCTTGAAGAAAGAGGAAAGGCAACTGTCTATGACAGAGATAGAGAATCGGTCACAATCTCTGCCCTCACAAATGTGGAAGAAGAGCCCTTCCTCCTTCACCACTGCTGGAATGGTGAGGAGAGGAACAAAAAGCCCTTGTTTCTTCTGGTGAGGTGTTGTAATCATTCTGGCAGAAAACAGACAAGATTATGAAATTATATTATGTAGGCAAACTTCTAGAAAAGAGAAGTCTTATTTACACCAAAGAGTGATCCAAATAATTACATGGAAGCTGACAATGATTAAATTTAGAATAAGAGGAAAGTTCTGACCAAATAGACTGTAAGTATCCAGAAAAATCTTTCCATTGAATCACTGGGAACAAAATACCTAAACTAGACTAGAGTTAGGTAAACTAAACTACTTGAGTCTTTAGAACTAGCTCTAAATATTCAAACTTAATATTTATACACAATAAGTTGTGAACAGAGGCAGGAGACTGAAAAGATTATCCCAAGAAGCCCAGGTAGCCTTTCATCTCCTACACCTTAAAAGCTATACATAAGGGTGCAATGCAACCCTTCAGCTCTAAAAAATTTTCTAACCCCACTCAAATACCACTGCTTGTCTGGCTTCAGCAGAGGCAAAAACACTTGTTCCTGAGGGGTGACAACAGCAGCAAGTGGTAAAGCTCAGGTATATTTTACCCCATGGCAGCAAACTTCTCACTAGTCAGTGGATAGTTTTAAAGTTTGTTAAACAGTCTTAATTTGGAACTGAAGTAGAAAGCTCTGACCTATAAAATACACAAATGTATAATTACATCTGTTATTAGCTAAATGTAAGATCTGTATATAGGTTTTACGGCAATTATTACTTAAGCACATTTCTTACATGTAATTGTATTTAGTTCTACAAGTAAAAATGCTGTAAAGCGTGCATTGATCCTCTAAATTAGACATGCAGCTTTCAGGATGATGACATAAGACTCAGTCATGTGGATTTTAGGGATAGATTATGTTGTGATCTGGTGCAGGAAACTATAAAGAAGTGGCTTGAGCATCCTTATTGTGCAGTGCTCACTTTGTCGATGCTGGAAGCTTGTCAAAAACTCACCTGGGAAAACAAAACTACATTTTATGGGAGTGCATTTCTCCTCTCTCAGAAATACAGAAGGGATTAATGAACTGTACCAGTGCACTGGGATAAGATTGCCTTGGGTGTTCAAAGAGTCTCCTTCCACAGCCTTGTGAAGTTGAATGAAACCTCTCAGCTAAAAAGCTGGAAGAACTTAATTGGGAAAAAACATTCCACAAAGAGCTACATTTGTAACAGGCACAAAGTAGGAATTGGGCTGTATTGTTGACTTCAACCAGGGAAAAGTGTTTAAGCAAAAGTCTAGGCAATTATTTATATGCGGAGCTTCTTCAAGAGACTTAGGCATGGACTTGGATTTGCTGGTTTCTTTGTTCCAGTAATTAAGTTCTACTTCAGGTAGGCCACGTGCCTTCTCTTGTTTTCTTTGGCCAGTTTGAAGACTCTGGTGTCTTCACTCTGGTGAATCACAAGTTCCCTGGGCAGAAAATTATGTTTGGATTCCTTGAGGACAGTTTCCTTTAAATTAGATTTTCTTTAAAAAGTCAAGTAGGGAAAACACATTAAGAATAAAATCTTTAATAAAGGATAGAGCCTCGAAAAATTGAAACAAAGGAGCAGAAGCAATGTTTGTCTTATGCTGGAAAAAGGTACTTGAACCTCGATCTTAGAAGTGAGCTGTTGAAAACATTGTACTTTATAACTTCTGCCAGTGTTGGTAAAGAGATCTCCATTATGATGCTCCCAGTTCTTATCTGGGTAGGTAAAGTGATATTCTTTGACTTTACTTTCTCTTAAATGCCAATCTTTTTTTAATAGTCTCTCAACAGAAGACCAAAGGCAAAAAGGAAATGCAAATCTTCAAAGCACTTAGAATAAAAATGAAAAAACAAGGAACAAAATGCAGCCTATGAAACAAGTAATGGGTGATACTTCTCTTTAGTACCATCCTATATTGTCTTTTAGTGCACAAGCTGCTAAAAATCTGACAATATCCAGGATTGAATCTAAAACATGCAAGATGCCAGTAAGTAATCTATCTGTGCCTTAGCTCTGTGTATCTGAGGACGAACTAAGTGAATGACCATACTAGCTGTATAATAAATGTGCACAATACTTACTTTGTATATTTATATATATAATAATTCCTGTACAGAATGACTTTATGTGGTTCTAAGCGAAACATATTTATAAATAATCTCTATGTGTGTAGTTTCAATGTATATCTTACATAATTGCCTTTAAATGGCTCTATAAACAATCCTAAATTGCTACTTTGCACCACAAAAGCATTAACTCATTGACTTTACTGTTTCAGAGCAAGGTCTTCCTATGGAAGATTTCAGTGTGTATTTTGGGCAGGGTCAGGTAGGCCTGTTTTCCTGTTTTGATGCTGACCTAATTCTGAAGTGCTCCTCTTTGCCTTCAAAATCTCAGTGAGGAGCCTGCTTGGACCTACCTCAATGATAGCCCCATCAGGTAGCCGGAGGAAGTGCCTGTAGAGCTCCCGGAGGCCGCTGAGGTGAACGGTATACACAGAGACGTGAACAGTGGTGCTACCTTTCAAGCTGGCTGCAGAGTCCGGGATTTCATCCTGGTGCTGGAGGTCACAGCTGGAGACACCAGGCTGGCTGGCGTGGTCCTTCCAGATGTAATCAGACACTGCCACCTAGTGAGACAGAGGGTCCCCCCCGCCCCCAGACACACACACACACACACACACACACACACACACACACACACACACACACAGGGAGAGAGTCCCCCACCCCCCACCAAAGGAACATATTTAATTAACTTCTGGCAAGAGCTTAACCGATTTAAAATGATTTTACAATAAATCTGCAAAGCCTGTACCATATGCAGTGCTTGCACACAGTTCTCTACTACATATTTTTTTATGACATAGATCTAAATAGAGGAGATAGACAAATCCCTAGTGTATATTCTATAAAGTTAATTCTGCACAGATGAAGCTGTAATTGACTCCCGTATTAACCAAAAGTAGGGAGATCAAGCAGGGTAGGTTAAACAATAAAATGGCAATGCTGATTAAAAAAAAGAAAGCTTCCCAAGAATTTCATGAACAAGTATTTGTATTTCTCTCTCTTTGAGAAGCTTTTGTGCCTGTACCCACAAGCACTTTTTAGTCTCTGATCTCTGTATGGTATTAAAATAACCTTGTGCTGCTAACAGAATTGTAGATGAGGCAGAGTAAATAAGGTGTATTTTAATGTGTTGTGTAAAGCTAGTTTATTGACACAGTTACCTAGTTTCCTAGTTTGCTCTAAACATATTTGCTTTGGTAGGTTTTGTACCTCCCCGCATCAGTCAGAATTTCCATTTAGCCTTTTTTGTGTTAATTCTTTACACGAGCTGAACAGAATTCAATACTACAGACGGAACACAGCACACAGCTTAAGCACCCTTTATCCTTAAATGAAACTGAGGATGTGAAGCATTATTTTTATACTCCCCCTGAAGTGCAAGCTTTTTAACCCTCCACTTTTGCAAGACCTTTTTGTCACTCACTTTCTCCCATGAGATACTGATCCTGTTAATAGAAGGAAGGGATTGGTGATATTAGTACTTGCTTACAATCCACTGGCATGCTCTTCCCAAGCACTAGTTAATGTAGAGGAAATACCTCTTTTGCTGGCTTAGTATATGCCTTTTCTTTCAAGAAAAGGTATTACACTGCCTGAAATCATTGGAATTCCACTCTGAAGTTGGCTAAAGAAAAGCTCTAATTTAAGATAGGTATATCAAAACCTTCTTTTGCATAGTTTTGCTTTTACTTTTGGCTGAAATGAAGAGCTCAGATTCTTATAAGGGATCTCAAAAATCACCAGACACAAATTTTTCCCCTCACTTGGGAAAAGTTAGATTTAGCTCAGTTTGCTTGTGTTCCAGTTCATGTTTCCTTAGCTGTTCTTACGCATTACGAGGAATCCTGTAACTAGCACAGTGTGTCAATGCCACAATCCTGACGTGCATGCTGCTATTCTGAGCAACTGCCTTAGGAGAGGATTTGTTTTAGGTGAATTAAGAAACCAAGATCACGTACAGGAAATTATCTCCAATTCTTTTCCAGGAATGACGGAACAATAGGATACTTCATTTTAGCACCAGCTTCTATTTGCACCAGTCCTAATCAAATTTTTAGGTTTTAAAATGAGGAAAAGACATCTGAAATTTAAGGTAAAATAAGCACAGTCTGAATGTCCCACACCAATATCTCTGAGGATAAAAGGCTTCCATTCAGGACAACTCGTTAGGAACACACAGCAGTTGTACGGACAGGACAAGCCTTGCATTTTCTTCTGTCTAGCAGAAAGCATGTTTCACATGCCTGCCATACTCAGTGCTCTATAAGTACTAAGGTGGCCAATTCTGTCATGAAAGTAGGAAAGCAGCTTCCATTGGGACAGCGTTGGCTACAGCACGGACAAGCGGCTGCAGGAACTGTCACACCAGAGCTTGTGAAATGGGAACAAAGACCCTGCCATGGTTACCCCCCTTTCTCATCCCCATGTCTCACAACCAAGACCTCTGACCTGTCCAAGTCAAGACCACCAAACCTTGTGTCTCTTCCCTGATCTATGACTTCAGGAAGGAGAAGTGGCTGGGACACTCAGCTCAGAAACTCAGTCTTCAGCAAACACAGCAAACAGAATGATCTCTGTCGTGATCCTTCTTTTATGCCAGGTGCATTTTCACTTGTACTGCTAGCTTCCTTTCTGCAAAGTATTTTCTTACCTTCTGTCCCACACCTTCCCCTGCTTCTTCTCTGACCTTTATCTTATCCCACTTTCATTGAATCTGCTTGATCTTCTCTTGTGTTTGTCCCTACCAACCAGTAAGGGGCTTTTTTACCATGTTTTTTGCAAGTTGTGGATCCTTCCCTGTGAACACTGCATCTTAGCATCTTTTTGCTCATTTGAGCTGTGAGCTCTGGGGGCAAAGATATGCATGCTATGTTTGTCCAGCACAGAGGAGAGCATGGACCTTAGACCACCTTCCTGCAAATAAATTACTACCTATATTTTCAATCAGTGTCAGAGTTGAGTGTAATTTACGGCATAAAATTACTGTGCAGGGAGCCAAAGCCATGTCTCTCAAATCTTTGAGCAAACCTTCACCTTGCCAGGGCAAAGACCTCCTTTGGAAGTTCCTGGCTCCAGGTGCCATTCCTAGGGCACTATATCCATATGGGACCAGGTATGGCATGAGAAGTCTCTGCCTTGCTACCTCCCCGAGAGCAGACAATTCTGCAGGGTAGTGGGAGTACGCAGACCCCCCTGATCTGTTGTCACTTTTCAAGATCTAGTGAACTCCCTCTGAGGACTTTTATGTGACGAGCCAAGAGAACATGATGATATTGTTCAGCATGTCCTCCCCTCCCCAAAAGCACAGATTGATCATCAGACAACTGAGAGGGAAAAAACACCACCAAAACTGATCATGCGGTGCCGAGTTGCGTAGCTTTGGTCCAGGGTAGGCACAACTAGAAAGGAAGGAAACAGGATGCTTAGCTGGAACATCACCCATTGACCCTTCCTCAAAATCACCTAGTAGTGTGAGTTTGCCTGAAGGCAGCCTCTGAAATATGTGGTTGGATATAACAGTTGAAAACCAGCCTCAGGAAAGGAAAAAGCAGCACTGGGTGTGGTTGTGGATTTAGAGACCCCAGTTCAGAAGGACCCTTCAACTCCCTCCTTGCTAAAACCATCTGAAAGTATTTGGCAGACAGATGTCCACTGCCTTGAAACTTTCAAAACAAATTTCTGTGAAGTGATAGGTCACTAGAGAGCTGCTGTGGCCTACATAACCTGAAGTAAGCTCTAGAAGTAAACTCTACTGTCATCTGAAATTTCTATCATTAAGTTAATCAAAAATGTCCATTCATTTCTACAGGAATACAATATGAGTTAATAAATCCACAGAGACAGGCTAGTCAAGAGACTGTGCATATAGGACATGTCAGAGAAACTGAAGTTAGCAATGATCTAGATTCACAAGGGCTGACAAGAAACCACAAAATGCCACAGCAGTGTAAAGTAATCCTTAAATGAAATTCATCTTTCAGCAGAAAAACACATTAAGGATGGTAATTCAATGATAAAAGACGCAGGCCAGAACAGGTTCAAATGCTGAATATTTCACAACATAACTTAATTAAAGCGGGAGTGTGAGGCTGTTAATCACTTTATAATAGTTCAGCTTGAAATGAGGTCTGATGTGAATGCCCTTATAGTTTATTTGTTTATATTATTATAATCACAAAATGTTACATTGACCTAATGTAAATGTCCAGTTTTCACTGGCCTTTATTATGTTGGCTTTTTTTTCTCCTTTTGATCATCCTATCTTTGTGCAAGTATGTGAAGGGAAGAACTGCGAGGAAGGGTCATAAATTTAGGTCAGACCAGATGATTCAGTAAGTCTCATGTGGTTTTAAGTCTTATTAATAATTTTAATACATTCTTCCTTGACAACAATTATTTCAATCACTGCTCCTTTAACGTATACTGTGATGTAAAAATACACAGGTTTTTAAAAGAATGGAACACGCTTCTCATATAAAGAAGGTAAATTATGTCAACCCTTTGAAAATTACAGTACATAACCTAGAACAAAAGACAAAAATACATATGTAAGTAAAAATACAAATGTACTTTGTTGTATAACTATATCATGCCATACCAAGTGTATAGAAATATGGTATTGAATTAGAACACGATAACATTTTAAACCCAAATATATTAATAAATGCATATTTATAAATATATTACACACTTGAGGCACATCCAAATAATATCAATATTTCCAACATCAGGTTACAGAAAATGCCATGCTAGTGCATAAAACGTACTATGACGTTTTCTATTGTTTGACAGTTTTTGTGCAAGAAGAAAGGAAAAAATATTTCCTCAGATTTTCTGAGCTAGAGTGGGAATAAGAAGTCTGACTTTTAGTGTCTTATAAAGAGGCATCAACATAAAAAAGTTCTTTTTAAAAAGTTGAGAAATATACATGTCTGTCCAAACACTTGATTATGATTAGTACTGATTCTTTACTGCTTGCAGCGTTATTATTAGCAATGTCATGTGAATCAATTCTAGCTTCATGCACTTCAAAATGTATAAAAAAATTGTTTGAAAAGATCATTCAAAGAAAATTCATAAAATGAGCAGTATGGACCAAACTCACCAGTTGAGAATGGGTGGAACTGAAAGCTGGTCATGACAAATAATAAGCAAAAGTTACAAACTGTTACCTTTAGGCAAAAGGGCAGAAGTGTTGAAATTATAGGGGAAAAAAAAAGACATCAAATATCGAGGGTGCTGTATTTACTTCAGATAACTTTCATAAACATGGTAAGTGCATTTTCTGTGGTAAGAGTTGTAAATATGGGAATTAATGTCCTGGAGGCAATCTTTGTTAAACCAGTGTAGCTCTACAACTAAAAAAAACCCAAAAGCTGGCTAGTGCTAACCTCCAGGGGAAGAACAGCATCCCTTAAGCATTTCAAACCCCATCTCTGACATGCTGTTGCTAAAAACCTTGTCAGCAACTCTGGGAAAAGAAGAATTTACATGGAAATGTCTAAAAACATGCTTCCCGCCTGTGTCAAAGGCACCTTGGTGGCATCTAGGTCTGGGTGAG